GAGAATTCTGGACCTGGCAGCAGCATGAGGAGGCGGGCGGTACGGGGGCCCATGGCAGATTACAGGCCTGGCATGCAGCAATGGGAAGGCCCGTAATCTGCCAGCACCCTTATGACAAAAATGGAACACACCAGCAGTGTGAGGAGACCTGAAAAGTGGCACATGGCAGAGTGTGGCGATGGAGACAGCAGCAAATGGGAGGCCGTACAGGGACCCATGAGAGACTCTGGACCTGGCAGCAGCATGAGGAGGCGGGTACAGGGGCCCATGGCAGATTACAGGCCTGGCAGCAGCAATGGGAGGCCCGTAATCTGCCAGCACCCTATGACAAAATGGAACACACCAGCAGTGTGAGGAGACCTGAAAGTGGCACATGGCAGAGTGTGGCGATGGAGACAGCAGCAATGGGAGGCCGTACAGGGACCCATGAGAGACACTCTGGACCTGGCAGCAGCAGACAGCAGCAATGGGAGGCCGTACAGGGACCCATTAGACACTCTGGACCTGGCAGCAGCATGAGGAGGCGGTACAGGGGCCCATGGCAGATTACAGGCCTGGCAGCAGCAATGGGAGGCCCGTAATCTGCCAGCACCCTATGACAAAATGGAACACACCAGCAGTGTGAGGAGACCTGAAAGTGGCACATGGCAGAGTGTGGCGATGGAGACAGCAGCAATGGGAGGCCGTACAGGGACCCATGAGAGACTCTGGACCTGGCAGCAGCATGAGGAGGCGGTACAGGGGCCCATGGCAGATTACAGGCCTGGCAGCAGCAATGGGAGGCCCGTAATTGCCAGCACCCTATGACAAAATGGAACACACCAGCAGTGTGAGGAGACCTGAAAGTGGCACATGGCAGAGTGTGGCGATGGAGACAGCAGCAATGGGAGGCCGTACAGGGACCCATGAGAGACTCTGGACCTGGCAGCAGCATGAGGAGGCGGTACAGGGGCCCATGGCAGATTACAGGCCTGGCAGCAGCAATGGGAGGCCCGTAATCTGCCAGCACCCTATGACAAAATGGAACACACCAGCAGTGTGAGGAGACCTGAAAGTGGCACATGGCAGAGTGTGGCGATGGAGACAGCAGCAATGGGAGGCCGTACAGGGACCCATGAGAGACTCTGGACCTGGCAGCAGCATGAGGAGGCGGTACAGGGGCCCATGGCAGATTACGGGCCTGGCAGCAGCAATGGGAGGCCCGTAATCTGCCAGCACCCTATGACAAAATGGAACACACCAGCAGTGTGAGGAGACCTGAAAGTGGCACATGGCAGAGTGTGGCGATGGAGACAGCAGCAATGGGAGGCCGTACAGGGACCCATGAGAGACACTCTGGACCTGGCAGCAGCATGAGGAGGCGGTACAGGGGCCCATGGCAGATTACAGGCCTGGCAGCAGCAATGGGAGGCCCGTAATCTGCCAGCACCCTATGACAAAATGGAACACACCAGCAGTGTGAGGAGACCTGAAAGTGGCACATGGCAGAGTGTGGCGATGGAGACAGCAGCAATGGGAGGCCGTACAGGGACCCATGAGAGACTCTGGACCTGGCAGCAGCATGAGGAGGCGGTACAGGGGCCCATGGCAGATTACAGGCCTGGCAGCAGCAATGGGAGGCCCGTAATCTGCCAGCACCCTATGACAAAATGGAACACACCAGCAGTGTGAGGAGACCTGAAAGTGGCACATGGCAGAGTGTGGCGATGGAGACAGCAGCAATGGGAGGCCGTACAGGGACCCATGAGACACTCTGGACCTGGCAGCAGCATGAGGAGGCGGTACAGGGGCCCATGGCAGATTACAGGCCTGGCAGCAGCAAATGGGAGGCCCGTAATCTGCCAGCACCCTATGACAAAATGGAACACACCAGCAGTGTGAGGAGACCTGAAAGTGGCACATGGCAGAGTGTGGCGATGGAGACAGCAGCAATGGGAGGCCGTACAGGGACCCATGAGACACTCTCTGGACCTGGCAGCAGCATGAGGAGGCGGTACAGGGGCCCATGGCAGATTACAGGCCTGGCAGCAGCAATGGGAGGCCCGTAATCTGCCAGCACCCTATGACAAAATGGAACACACCAGCAGTGTGAGGAGACCTGAAAGTGGCACATGGCAGAGTGTGGCGATGGAGACAGCAGCAATGGGAGGCCGTACAGGGACCCATGAGAGACACTCTGGACCTGGCAGCAGCATGAGGAGGCGGTACAGGGGCCCATGGCAGATTACGGGCCTGGCAGCAGCAATGGGAGGCCCGTAATCTGCCAGCACCCTATGACAAAAAATGGAACACACCAGCAGTGTGAGGAGACCTGAAAGTGGCACATGGCAGAGTGTGGCGATGGAGACAGCAGCAATGGGAGGCCGTACAGGGACCCATGAGACACTCTGGACCTGGCAGCAGCATGAGGAGGCGGTACAGGGGCCCATGGCAGATTACAGGCCTGGCAGCAGCAATGGGAGGCCCGTAATCTGCCAGCACCCTATGACAAAAAATGGAACACACCAGCAGTGTGAGGAGACCTGAAAGTGGCACATGGCAGAGTGTGGCGATGGAGACAGCAGCAATGGGAGGCCGTACAGGGACCCATGAGACACTCTGGACCTGGCAGCAGCATGAGGAGGCGGTACAGGGGCCCATGGCAGATTACAGGCCTGGCAGCAGCAATGGGAGGCCCGTAATCTGCCAGCACCCTATGACAAAATGGAACACACACCAGCAGTGTGAGGAGACCTGAAAGTGGCACATGGCAGAGTGTGGCGATGGCGATGGAGACAGCAGCAATGGGAGGCCGTACAGGGACCCATGAGACACTCTGGACCTGGCAGCAGCATGAGGAGGCGGTACAGGGGCCCATGGCAGATTACAGGCCTGGCAGCAGCAATGGGAGGCCCGTAATCTGCCAGCACCCTATGACAAAATGGAACACACCAGCAGTGTGAGGAGACCTGAAAGTGGCACATGGCAGAGTGTGGCGATGGAGACAGCAGCAATGGGAGGCCGTACAGGGACCCATGAGAGACTCTGGACCTGGCAGCAGCATGAGGAGGCGGTACAGGGGCCCATGGCAGATTACAGGCCTGGCAGCAGCAATGGGAGGCCCGTAATCTGCCAGCACCCTATGACAAAATGGAACACACCAGCAGTGTGAGGAGACCTGAAAGTGGCACATGGCAGAGTGTGGCGATGGAGACAGCAGCAATGGGAGGCCGTACAGGGACCCATGAGAGACACTCTGGACCTGGCAGCAGCATGAGGAGGCAGGCAGAACCGCCGTATCTTTATCACGGTTTTCCCAGGCCACCAAATGGCGACGCTGCATATGCTGACACAACGCTGTAGTCCCAACATGGGCCCCCTGGCCCACACTTGACTTTCTGGCCACATAGTCGACAGACGGCTACGTTTACTTCCTCGGGCGGCTTGACAAAAAATTGCCACACACCGCCGAGTAGGAAACTTTGCCCCCGCTACTCCTCACTGGCTGACTGCTACTTCCTCCGTGCACACCGGCACCACTACTGGCCGTGGTGGTAGGCTGCAGTGGAGCTGGTGCTCTACTCCGTGGCCGTTTGCCTCCACTGACACTGCTGCGACCCTGCTGCCTCCTGGGCAACCCACCGACTGTTTTGCTCGCTGCCAAGCTGGCACCCTCTTCTCCTGATGATGCGGAAGCAATAGCCTGATGACGACGAGGCTGCCAAGTGCGATCAGCTCCCTCATCATCATCAATTAGGGTCTCCGCCTCACTACTAGCCCCCTCGGCTGCGTGTGTGGGTCAGGAGACAGACCTGTCTCTAGACCGGCTACCGAGCCCACTCTCACTCGCCAGTACTTCTTCGCCTGGCTGCTGAAGAGGCGGATTCTGTGTCTCCCCCCGTTCCTGACCGCCCTCTGTTAGCTCTTCCTCACTGTACAGTGGGGCTGAGCCCACAGCATGCGATACTTCGCTTGGTAGAGGGAACACCAAAGGACAGGGGCAGGTAGAGGACACGTGATTTCAGTGGGCTTGCTCCCGGCCATCCATGCCAACTAACGGTTGTGTCTGACGTACCCACCGACCATTGGCTGTAGGTGTCAGAGGTGACCTGGGAAGAGGAAGACGACCGAGCCAACCAATCGATGACGGCAGGGTTGTCGGTGGAGACACGACCGCTGGATGACACCGGGAGCACTGGCCTCTGGCTGCGACTAGTGCTGCCTGCCTCGACCCCTTCCTCTGCTGCGTCTGCTCGCTCCTAAAACATTGCCTCCTCTGCCACTCCTCTGCATGTTGTCTGACATACTCTTTAATTCAACGATTCTGTGTCCCTGAGTAACAATTCTGTGTCCCTGAGTAACAATTCTGTGTCCCTGAGTAACAATTCTGTGTCCCTGAGTAACAATTCTGTGTCCCTGAGTAACAATTCTGTGTCCCTCAGTAACAATTCTGTTCAGTAACAATTTCTGTGTCCCCCTCCAGTAACAATTCTGTGTCCCTGAGTAACAATTCTTGTTGTCCCTGTCCCTCAGTAACAATTCTGTGTCCCTCAGTAACAATTCTGTGTCCTCAGTAACAATTCTGTGTCTGTCCCTGAGTAACAATTCTGTGTCCCTGAGTAACAATTCTGTGTCTGTCCCTGAGTAACAATTCTGTGTCCCTGAGTAACAATTCTGTGTCCCTCAGTAACAATTCTGTGTCCCTCAGTAACAATTCTGTGTCCCTCAGTAACAATTTCTGTGTCTGTCCCTGAGTAACAAGTAACAATTCTGTGTCCCTCAGTAACAATTCTGTGTCCCTCAGTAACAATTCTGTGTCCCTCAGTAACAATTCTGTGTGTGTCCCTGAGTAACAATTCTGTGTCCCCGAGTAACAATTCTGTGTCCCCCTGAGTAACAATTCTGTGTCCTCAGTAACAATTGTGTGTCCCTCAGTAACAATTCTGTGTGTCCCTCAGTAACAATTCTGTGTCTGTCCCTGAGTAACAATTCTGTGTGTCCCTCAGTAACAATTCTGTGTCTGTCCTGAGTAGTAACAATTCTGTGTCCCTGTAACCTGTGTCTGTCCCTGAGTAACAATTCTGTGTCCCTGAGTAACAATTCTGTGTCCCTGAGTAACAATTCTGTGTCCCTGAGTAACAATTCTGTGTCCCCAATTCAGTAACAACACAATTCTGTGTCCCTCAGTAACAATTCTGTGTCTGTCCCTGAGTAACAATTCTGTGTCCCTGAGTAACAATTCTGTGTCTGTCCCTCAGTAACAATTCTGTGTCTGTCCCTCAGTAACAATTCTGTGTCCCTCAGTAACAATTCTGTGTCCCTCAGTAACAATTCTGTGTCTGTCCCTGAGTAACAATTCTGTGTCCCTGAGTAACAATTCTGTGTCCCTGAGTAACAATTCTGTGTCCCTGAGTAACAATTCTGTGTCCCTCAGTAACAATTCTGTGTCCCTGAGTAACAATTCTGTGTCCCTGAGTAACAATTCTGTGTGTCCCTCAGTAACAATTCTGTGTCCCTCAGTAACAATTCTGTGTCCCTCAGTAACAATTCTGTGTCCCTGAGTAACAATTCTGTGTCTGTCCCTGAGTAACAATTCTGTGTCCCTCAGTAACAATTCTGTGTCTGTCCCTGAGTAACAATTCTGTGTCCCTGAGTAACAATTCTGTGTCCCTCAGTAACAATTCTGTGTCTGTCCCCTCAGTAACAATTCTGTGTGTCCCTCAGTAACAATTCTGTGTCTGTCCCTGAGTAACAATTCTGTGTCCCTGAGTAACAATTCTGTGTCCCCTCAGTAACAATTCTGTGTCCCTCAGTAACAATTCTGTGTCCCTCAGTAACAATTCTGTGTCTGTCCCTGAGTAACAATTCTGTGTCCCCTGAGTAACAATTCTGTGTCCCCTGAGTAACAATTCTGTGTCCCCCTGAGTAACAATTCTGTGTCTGTCCCTCAGTAACAATTCTGTGTGTCCCTGAGTAACAATTCTGTGTAACCCTGAGTGTCCCTCAGTAACAATTCTGTGTCCCTCAGTAACAATTCTGTGTCCCTCAGTAACAATTCTGTGTCCCTCAGTAACAATTCTGTGTCTGTCCCTGAGTAACAATTCTGTGTCCCTGATTAACAATTTCTGTGTCCCTGAGTAGTAACAATTCTGTGTCCCTCGTAACAATTCTGTGTCCCTCAGTAACAATTCTGTGTCCCTCAGTAACAATTCTGTGTCCCTGAGTAACAATTCTGTGTCCCTGTAACAATCTGTGTGTCCCTGAGTAACAATTCTGTGTCCCTCAGTAACAATTCTGTGTCTGTCCCTGAGTAACAATTCTGTGTCCCTCAGTAACAATTCTGTGTCCCTCAGTAACAATTCTGTCTGTGTCCCTGAGTAACAATTCTGTGTCCCTGAGTAACAATTCTGTGTCCCTCAGTAACAATTCTGTGTCCCTCAGTAACAATTCTGTGTCTGTCCCTGAGTAACAATTCTGTGTCCCTCAGTAACAAATTCTGTGTCCCTCAGTAACAATTCTGTGTCCCTCAGTAACAATTCTGTGTCCCTCAGTAACAATTCTGTGTCCCTGTCCCTGAGTAACAATTCTGTGTCCCTCAGTAACAATTCTGTGTCCCTCAGTAACAATTCTGTGTGTCCCTCAGTAACAATTCTGTGTCCCCTGAGTAACAATTCTGTGTCCCTCAGTAACAATTCTGTGTCCCTCAGTAACAATTCTGTGTCCCTCAGTAACAATTCTGTGTCCCTGAGTAACAATTCTGTGTCCCTCAGTAACAATTCTGTGTCCCTCAGTAACAATTCTGTGTCCTGTCCCTCAGTAACAATTCTGTGTGTGTCCCTGAGTAACAATTCTGTGTCCCTGAGTAACTGTGTCCCTCAGTAACAATTCTGTGTCCCTCAGTAACAATTCTGTGTCTGTCCCTGAGTAACAATTCTGTGTCCCTGAGTAACAATTCTGTGTCCCTGAGTAACAATTCTGTGTCCCTCAGTAACAATTCTGTGTGTCCCTGAGTAACAATTCTGTGTCCCTCAGTAACAATTCTGTGTCCCTCAGTAACAATTCTGTGTCCCTGAGTAACAATTCTGTGTCCCTCAGTAACAATTCTGTGTGAGTAACCCTCCCTCAGTAACAATTCTGTGTCCCTCAGTAACAATTCTGTGTCCCTCAGTAACAATTCTGTGTCCCTCAGTAACAATTCTGTGTCCCTCAGTAACAATTCTGTGTCTGTCCCTGAGTAACAATTCTGTGTCCCTCAGTAACAATTCTGTGTCCCTGAGTAACAATTCTGTGTCTGTCCCTGAGTAACAATTCTGTGTCCCTCAGTAACAATTCTGTGTCCCTCAGTAACAATTCTGTGTCCCTCCCTGAGTAACAATTCTGTGTCCCTCAGTAACAATTCTGTGTCCCTCAGTAACAATTCTGTGTCCCTCAGTAACAATTTCTGTCTGTCCCTGAGTAACAATTCTGTGTCCCTGAGTAACAATTCTGTGTCCCTCAGTAACAATTCTGTGTCCCTCAGTAACAATTCTGTGTCTGTCCCTGAGTAACAATTCTGTGTCCCTGAGTAACAATTCTGTGTCCCTCAGTAACAATTCTGTGTCCCTCAGTAACAATTCTGTGTCTGTCCCCTGAGTAACAATTCTGTGTCCCTCAGTAACAATTCTGTGTCCCTCAGTAACAATTCTGTGTGTCCCTGAGTAACAATTCTGTGTCCCTGAGTAACAATTCTGTGTCCCTCAGTAACAATTCTGTGTCCCTCAGTAACAATTCTGTGTCCCTCAGTAACAATTCTGTGTCTGTCCCTGAGTAACAATTCTGTGTCCCTCAGTAACAATTCTGTGTCCCTCAGTAACAATTCTGTGTCTGTCCCTGAGTAACAATTCTGTATCCCTCAGTAACAATTCTGTGTCCCTCAGTAACAATTCTGTGTCTGTCCCTGAGTAACAATTCTGTGTCCCTCAGTAACAATTCTGTGTCCCCTGAGTAACAATTCTGTGTCCCTCTGTAACAATTCTGTTCCCTCAGTAACAATTCTGTGTCCCTCAGTAACAATTCTGTGTCCCTGA